ATTTGGGACGCTCGACGCTCAGTCGCTCTAATACCGCCGCCGATTATTTGTGTGTGTTGCATGTACCATGTTCGCCTCTCCTGTTGTATCTATCAAATACGTATCGATTAACGCCGCGCTCTGTTTCTCTGTTCTTCAAGCCCCTGTGTCTCTGTCCCGTCTCTCGCTCTCTAGCTCTCTCTCTTTCTCTGTTCCTATCCTTCTCTGTCTCCCGCTATGAGTCTCACAGCAGCTCAACCACATTCAGCCACTACTATTATACTTTCGTATATGTTGGTAACTCTCTCAATTCATTCATACGACTTTCGCGGATTTGGCCCCTTCTCACTAACACATTGCGAGTGTACATACATTTATTGATTTATTGATCGTTCGAATAATATAATGTGTATGCGTGTGTGTATGTTCCTCATTGGTGTGTCGTCGTTGCGTCGCCGAAAAGTATAAACGAAACATACGTTTACTATAGCCTAATAGCGCGACGATGTGCTACCACCACCGTACTTACATGAAGTTTTCATAAGTAAAACCGTACGTATTTGTGTAGAACAGCTTACAGCCAATCCCGTAGTGGCCAAAATCATTTTTCATTATTTCGTTTTTTTTTNTTTTTTTTTCTGGGTATTCAGAGATTTTCTTCATTTTCATCACCTGTTCATTATATGTATATCGATCGCCGCGTTGTTTAAATGATGTTTGTGTGCAGCATTTCGACGGCCCGACGTTATCTACCGTCCTTCACCCCTCCTCTGCCCCATCCCATACCCCTGTCTGTCCCCGTTCAATTTAGTCAGGACGTCAATCGATATCGGATCGATAATCAATTGGTGGCCTAATGTCGTCTAGTTGTCAGGATTCGATCCGACTGCCCATTTACTTCTATGGTCGTTTAGTTTAGTCAGTAATTCCCATACCCGACCAGGACAATTGATTGAATCGAAATCATCGTGTGATCACTCTATCCTTTTCATCATGATCCATCGGCTCGTATCGGTATCCTTTTCCTCCTCACGAATACCCCTCAAATTCCTCGCCACACCCCCATATGGGAGATGCGAGCATGTCATAATATTGTTATAAATGTTGCCCATTTTTTGTATTAATAAATGATAAAATGAACAGTGTGTAGTCGTTCAGCACATGACGGTTGATTACGGCAAACAAGTACCGGTCAAGGCGTATTTTTAGAAAAGAAATATAAAATGAGGTCTCAGAGTTCGGTTCGGTCTGTAGATCCGACTTAAAATGCGCCCAGGTATTTTTGGCCATACAGAATCGTACGGGCGTTTGAAAGTGTATATGGCCGATACAATGACCAGCAAGACACAGTTAAAGTAAAGTGGCCATTTTCATACTCCGAGAAAGGGCCATTCATTCTCTCGGGTCAGCTGAGCTTAACAGGATGGAAGGTTTAAGGTTCCCAGCCAGGTGGTGGGGACACCATGTGACTCCACTTCGCCTTCGAATAGGTCATGCAAGGTATAGAATCGGAAAGTGACAAACAAAGTGGGGCTGACAGTGAAAGTTAAGAGAGCGAAAGTTGAGTGGGCAGCTAAAGGCTTGAACAAACAGTGGGAGAGAGAGGCAAAGGGGCCTGATTATTCATATTAGGAGCGACAGGGAAGAAGTAGAAGTCAGAGTAGAGAAAACAGCTGGGAACTGGATTCGTCCCAGCAGAAACTATGAATGGAGCCAGGGGGTCTGAAATCAAATCCCGGATCGAGTCCGTCAGTCCAATCGAGCCTTCCCCTCTGAAATTCATCCAGTGACTCTAATTCCTTTTAAACAGAAGGGAAGTAGTCTCCGTAGATTGATCGGGTTTAGTAAGACGTTGTACTGATCGAAGATAATATTCTTTCAAGTAGCAATCCAGGATAAAGTTGAATTCATGGCGCGTACTGTGATGAGGATGAGTGTCTCAGAATACTTCACTCCCATATGAGATGAGAAGAGAAAAGCGAACGTTTGTGCGAGTCGTTTTTGTCATGTTGGCATGGCGAAGGTGGTTTCCCGTTCAATCATTCTGGAGTTCGATCTAGGGAGCACCCTGTGCGAATTGATGAGCTGCTGGGATCGGAATTCCGGGCAGATCCGTCGGAGCAGTATCCAGCTGAGCGATCAGAAGGCAAGATACTGACGGAGCAGAGAACTCTGCCTCGAATCCGACGGGAAGAAATCTGTATTTAGGGCATGTACTGAAATCTGCCTTACGAAGAATTAGGGCTCACAGCTGGGGAAAAAATCATTTCAGTAAAGTGCGGGCTTTACCCCGAATCGCACAAAGTGCGTGGCTGTCTATTAGCTAGTTGTCTCACCGCCCATGGTGTCCTAAGTCTTGTGTTAGTTCATTCATCACATACTCCCTCTAGTGAGTCATCGGTTAATGGGAGCTCGAAGTAGTCCATCAATAAAAGACAGTGCATATCATAGATATGGACAGATAACAATCCGATGATATCCCTCAGGCGGATACGGTGGCAGCGAGGCTCATTTTTGTTAGTGTACTCAACGAAGAAGGCTTTTGGAATGTGTCTTCCACCCGGAGAGAAGGGCCATTACCTTCCTGCCGACCAAGTTAAGCATGGTGCAGCTGCCGAGGGTTCCTTAACTTTACTCACATCGAAGGAGTTGGAAGAAAAGGAAAAAGAGGACCAGAAAAAGGAGTCTCTGAAGAAATCCAACGGAAAGTCGGCAAGGGAAGAATCACAAGGACTCAAGAAGAAATCCAAAGAAACTGATCATTAATAGACAATTAATATTGCACATATATGGTGAGAAAAATAAATATTCACTTTTTTCAATGTCGAATTTGGTGTCCAGACTGGGTTTGAATACCATGAAGAGTTTGTTTATAGCTGTTTTGTCAAATTTATGTGTCTGTAATTCCGTCATTCTGCTCTAACCATCTAGCTGTCATGGAACAGTGGGAAAAAATGCTGCTAACTGGTTCATAGTGGATCTTGAATGGAGGATCCTATCAGAGGAACCACCTTGTAGATTCTGTGATTCTCAGCGGTAGCACTACTCGATAAGAGGACTGAGTTCTGGAGTTGTATTTCCTGGTCTCAAACTAACTACATACTGTGTAGGTCAAGTGCACATTCAGCATCTCTTCGATTTTGACTGGAAGTTGACTGCGTGGCGCACTCTAAAGGGCTGCATTCATGACGGAGGCTTCCAGTTACTTACTCTGTAGCAGAACTTCCGCCAGAATTACTTATTATTCGAAGCTACTCGAAGTTGTTATACATATGTACTATCCATTCAAGGGCAACGGTAGGGATGGTGGCTTCATTAGAAAGGTGGAAGTCCGAACTGGCAACTGGAAAGGACGCATTTTTCCAAACTGTGATTTATGATTTTATTAGGAATCAAAGGAGTTTCTGGGAGGTTCTGTCATCCAGTAGCGATCGATTTGGTGGTGCATTTTGCATGACGATCAATCGATCGATCACCAATGGCCGGGAACTGTACGGGAGTTGCTTATGATAAGTAAACAGAATTAGGGAGCATATTTTCAAGTAAATCATGAATTTGCTCCTTTACGATTTCAATTCACACCACTTCCAAAGCCTTCCATGTGTCAAACTCACTTAAGGACTCGTCGATCGGAGATTCTCGCTCATTCTAAGTGCTAGAACCAGCTATGAACCAAAGATCAAGGCTAATATGTCTATTGACGCCACTCGTCACTTCGCTTTAAGTGGCTTGTATTGATTTGAAGGAAGTATTTAATGTTTGAGAGGAATAAGGGAGTGAAGGGAATAGTTTCAAATAAAACATGGCCATTCCAAGTATCGATCATTTTCCTTTTGCTTTTCGACCACCAACTTGGCCATATTGAAGGGAAGTAGGAGACTTTACTAGTTCCCATTTTGTTTACTTTTACTCAGA